GTGTGTGTGTGTGTGTGTGTGTGTGTGTGTGTGTGTGTGTGTGTGTGTGTGTGTGTGTGTGTGTGTGTGTGTGTGTGTGTGTTTGTTGTGTGTGTGTGTGTGTGTGTGTGTGTGTGTGTGTGTGCGTGTGTGTGTGTGTGTGTGTGTGTGTGTGTGTGTGTGTGTGTGTGTGTGTGTGTGTGTGTGTGTGTGTGTGTGTGTGTGTGTGTGTGTGGTGTGTGCGTGTTTGTGTCTCTCCCCTCTTTCTCTCTCTCTCTCTCTCTCTCTCTCTCTCTCTCTCTCTCGGGCCATCGAATTGTGTCTCTGCAGCAGCGCAAGGCACTTTGTGTGACTGCTTAGGTTCATTGAGTGACACTGCATTCCAGAGCGACTGGGAAAAAAAGCAGGCAAGCGAGCAAAGGAACAAAGACACAAACAAATAAACAAAAAATGGAACTGTGTACAGCCGCACAAGTTCAACGGGGGGAATCTGTGAAAACAGGCTCTAATGCTCTTTGAAATTGATAGGTTCCTACTTCACCGACACTTGTGACAAAAGCCACACACACACACAAACCTATACACATATATATATATATATATATATGTATATATATATATATATTTATATCTCCACCGAAGGGCGGTTTTTCTGATCGCCGAAGTCGGTAGCCGGAATGAAGACCACGAGGCAAAGAACCCCGAAGGCCATAAGAGCAGCCTCGGCAAAGACATTCTTGGGTTCGAATCCTGCACTTCCAACCTTTGTGGCTTCCAGGCTGTGAAGCACGGCTCCACCGTAAAAGTCTTTGGGCTTTGAAACGGCAAACTTTTAATGCCAATCTTCAAAGGAGTGGGGAAGTAAGTATGAATTTGTCTCAAAATTGGGGCGGCAAAACTGTTCCTTTGCTTTCCCAACACAAGAACCCCTGGGACTGTCAAGCAAGGGGTGAACTTCACCGGGATCTGAGGCAGTTGGGCATTGTGGGCCCTCAATAAAGGGAGAAGCCTCATCACAATGGGGGAGCTGGTGGAAACGCGTGAATCACGCGTATGCTATGCATAAGCCACGCAGAAGCAGCGGGGGTTGCTCGTTTCCTAAAAAAAGGTGCAATACTCAAAGCGCGCCCAGAAGCCCTCGAGCCCCGAACTCCCTGTTTCGTTTGTCGCAGGAAAATGGAAGTTGATAAATCAGGCAGCCAGAGATGAGAAAAGCTTCACTTCTTTCTGTCCCAGCCTCCTTGCGTTCGTTTACGACTCTTTGCCTGTAATGTTGACCCCAGATCAATCAACCCCTGTGCATTTCCATGGGGAAGTGCTTTTCGGCCCATCCAAAAGCGGTCTGGTTCCCCTACATTCCTCCATATTTTCCGCCCTTGCCACTCTTTTCATGGGAACCGGTTGGGTTCCAACACCACTGACTCTGCCCTCACACCGCTCCGAAGCCCAAAGCCGGGCTGCCAGCGACGCACCCAGCGAGGCCTTGCCGCTTCTCTCGCAGCTCTCACGGGTCACGCCCCGCGCTTCCAGCGTTTGCAGCACCCACGCGGTTGACCTGAAGGTCACTACACACCCAAGAAGGGAAGGCCCATGACTTCTGGCTTATTCGAAAATGACCCCGCAAAAAAATATAATAGTCAAGGGTTGGTTCCTTGAAAAAGGACAGGGTGGGAGAAGAAAATACACTTAGCCAGTTTGGTTCAAGGCACTTGAGCCAAAATGGTAATTGTATAACACCATGAGGAATGATCAGTGCCTACCCAAGCCTACCAAACTCGAGACACAACCACATTCCTATGGTGTATGACTCAACACGAACGCACAGCTCTCTCGCACTTCTTTTATAGCGGGTGCAATCCTTTGTGATAGTAAACCTCGAACTCCGAGGATTTGCCTTGGTATGCTCCAGTGAGCTAAGGTAGGGCACTGAGTGGGCCCCACTCAGGCCCCCTGTCAGCTTCCCCACTGCCATCCCGGCGTGTACAGCTGACAGGGTAAACACCCCAATGCACTCCACTACCTATCCCAAGGCACTCAAAGGAAATGCACAACCGAGATCAACGCTGGCAACGGGAGATGCCAAATGATCAGCGGCGGAACGGTGCCAAGGATCACGGGCACCTTCCCGGCTGATCGCATCAGCCCAGTTTGATTTCGATGGAATGTATTCCCAGTAGATCCAAGTTTGCAGGGAGAACAAAACCACGTGTATCAAATGTGCCATGTGCCCCAGGTCCGGCTGTGCCGACCGTCCACGCACCAAGCACATCAACGCGGCAGTGTTATCGATGTACCACACCCCCTGCAATGTCGGAACTTGCCAGGCCGAGCCATCAAGGCGAACAGGACCATGGAAAGCTCCGGCAATCTTGTGATCGCCAGGTGTCCACACCTGGTACAAGGCTGCCGGAATCTGGGCGACGAAACCCTCACGCAATTCTGCCTGAGCATCACACCAGACAATCATGAACCCTCCTGTTCCCTCGCCAGGCACTTCCAGTGCGGCATCTGACGCTGCGAAAAAGCGGGGGCATGCACGGCGCTTGGCCCAGAACTTCACGTGGCCATGGGAGAGAGCTTCAGACATGTCATGGTCCAATCCCAGGAAAACGCCTTGGGATGCCATGGCCTGGCGCTTTTCCTCAGCAAAGCGGGTTCCCAAAAAGACATTCAGTTGCTCAAAGGCCCACTGTCCAGACCCCTTCGCTGAACGCCAGTCTGTCAAGCTCGCGTCGTTCAAAATACATTGACACCAGCACAAAAACCAGCCTGCGTCCAAGGGACTCCACCAACCTGGAATACCGGTTGAAACTGGTGACCGCCAGGGGCAGCCCAAACAAGAGACCCGCATAAAGCTGGTAGGCTGGCTCTGCCCACAAGTGGTGCCAAAAGACCACCACGCAGCCTAAGCACTCCTGTGGCGACATCGGCGAATGCCGATAGGCATCAGGCCAGTCCTCTCCCCCAGACTCCCAGGAGTCAGCCGCAGCCGCCGCTCGAAGGCTGTCCGGGGTCATCTGTGCCACCACTGCTCGGATGTGCTGCGCAGGGCGCAGGGGCGTACACAAAACCAATTTGTTAGCATCAGCTGACAACTCGCTTTGTTTTCCCTGATCGGCGTTGTCGATTATACGTTGCTTGCCAGAGCTCTGTGTGATAACACACCTGGGTATTAAACGGAAGGGAGCTCCCTTCACCGCCTGAAGAAGCTCTTGCCGCCGCATCGGGAAGGTGCAGAAACCTCGGTCCGCATCCAGGGTGGACTGAGATAGGAGAAAGACATCGTCTTTGCCTGATCGCAGGGTGGCCAAGATCCGCTGGTTGTTGGCCTCTGCCCCCATAACCACCTCCTCGAACGGGATGCGCCGTGCCTCCTGCTCAGGGAAGATGCCACAGGGGGGCGCATATCCAACTGCCGGGAGCCCGCACACCAACCCGTACGGATAGGACACATCCGGCCACGAGCTCAGGATGATCAAAAGAGCCGTGAAACCCACGTCCCGCTGGGCCGTCACTCGGCCGATTGCTGCCGGCTGCCGCTCCCGCAGCGCAGCCGTGACTCCTTGCCAGCGCTGCTTCAGCTCTCGCAAGGCTCCTACTGCTTGCCGCCAAAGGTCGATCATCTGACCTCGCCAGCGGGCACAACATGCCGCTGCAAAGCGGAGGTCCACGTCCAGCATGGGCTCCTCCTCCAATGGCGTCCGATCCTGCCGCCTGTCCCAGGCGTGATCGAAGTGCTCATCCGGGGTAGGCTCACCCGCCCAGCTTGCCGGCCCGTTGCGGTGATCTGTCGAAAACGTGCTGTGCGAGTGGCCAGCACCGGCCCCATTGGACCATCAACATCAAGCTCCTGGTCCTCGCACCATTCGGTAAAGGCAGAGAAGGGGAACGAATTGACGAGGTCCTCAATCATCGGAAAAGTGGTGTGCTGCAACCACTCATAGAAAATAGTCGTCGGAACCGAGTCACAAGACTCCTGAGAATGCTTCTGCAAATTGCGTGGAAGCGCCTGGGCGCCTGGGATCCCCCCCCAGGCTGCCAAAGCGGCTCTCCTGGGACGCCTACGGCTCACAGAGCCAGAACCGCGCCCCGGCTCACCGCTCTGCAGCCGCCGCTCGAAGAGGAGGCCGATCAAGACGTCCGCTTCGCATGGTACCTCCATGGCGCAGTCGCACACCAACGTCATCCCCTCCAGCTCCTCCAACTGGCCGAAGAGGCCGGACTGGTGGATGTGGGCCACATAATGCGGCAACCAGTCATCTCCTCCGCAGTGGATACCTGGGATCTTGTTGGCCGCCCATTTGGAACAAGCAAGACGGTGGCTATGGTGACCCATACCCACGTAGATGTGTGCGTCCGGCAAAAACTTCCTTTTGCCCAGCACTGCCTGGGCCTGCGCCCGCACAGGTAACCCCTGCGCCTGGGCACCCCGCAAGCGAAGCCCCAGGGACAGGGCGACCGGTGCCATAGCCCACTCACGCATGGCCCTCGGGTCCAACAGCAGCCAGTCCTCCCTGCGACCCACACACTCGACCGTGGGCATCCGGTGGACTCGCAGCACTGCTCTGCCCGTTCGCACCGCCCACCATGAAGCGGCGACCGCCAGAGCAAAGCACAACGGGGCCGTATACTCATTGCTCGGGTAGAAGCGGCCGGTAGCGCACTCCACAGGCTCCCACTCCTTGGGATCGTGAGAATGCTGGCAAGCCATGGGGGGCCAGGCGTCGATCTCGTCCAGGTTGTGGCGCAGGCGCTGCGATTTGGCTCGAGCTCCACCCAGCACACATGCAGAGTAGGTCTTGTCGCGCCATCGCCCTGACTGCCACATGCGTTGCTCCAGAGCCCAGTGTAGGCTCCGGGCGGGTTCTCGCGAATAGATGCCCCTCCCCGCATCTCCAGCTGCTCGATTTCCTCCAAAACCCATGCACAGGCCTGGTTGTCGATAGAGACTCGGTTCAAGTCCCTGCCCCGCAGGCCTGGTAGGCTCTCCGGGTACTGCTCCGAGCGAAGTGGTTGTGGTGCAGGGCGACCATCGTCGAACTTCCGCGGGATCTCCCGTGCCCGTGACTTAGTAGAGCAATCAATGGGAAGCGGATGAATTGCCGCAGCCGGTTCCCCCTCTCATGGCTGACTTGATGGCCGGCCCGCGGGTACCGCTGACCAAAGCTTTCCTTCATTGCGGTTGGCGATGCCTGCCAGTTGACTGGCTGCTGGATGCCACCCACGACCTGGCCGACCCTCGGCGACAGGAGCTGCTGCACGAGCAGCTGTTGGAGGCCGATTTCATTGCAGCGGCGACCCTGACAGGGATGCCGCCTCCCCGTCGGGGCCCCGTCAGGTGGAGTTGCGGGGCTTCTTGCCCCCCGTGCAGTCCTTGGCCGCGTGCCCCAGCCCGCAAACCCGGTCACCCCGGATCACGACTCCGCAGCGATGTACCCCCTGCATGCACTTGCCTTTGGCGCCGCACTTGCCGTGCTGGAAGGCCTGGCAGATCTCCGTCCCGTCGCGCATGGTCCGGGCCACCGGGCGACCGCCAATAGGTTTGCCCTGCGTGAGAAGGTTGGTACTTGCCGCGGCTTTGGATGCAGGTGCCGGTGCCACCTGAGACGAAGCGGCCTGGGGCTCCTGAAGCCCCACCGCCCAATGGGCGTCTCGGGCAGCGTGGACCTCCTTGATCACCACTCCGAGGGATGCTGTGGCTTCGCGGAACCGAGTTACCCACTCAGACCGTTCGTCAACATCTTTGGCCTGCAACCACTGCAGGCGCCGAGCCGGCGGCAGTGCCCCTGCCGTCCGCTTAGCGCGGTAGTAGTACTGCATCGCCACATCCAGCGGGACTTGGACGAACTGAGTGGAGTCCGCCCCAAGTGTCTTCTCCAACTGGATGTCCGGGCTGCTTTGCGTCGCCGCGGTACCCGCCATCGAGTAGGCCACCATGAGCGTGTGGAGCTTGTCAAGGTAGCCCTCCCAGTCCTGGAAGATCGGCTCCTCCTCGTTGGTCTCCTCGGTGTACAGGCCCTCAGCCAGCTTCCGCTTGCGCTGCACCGTGGTGAGTTGGAACTGAAGAGAACTGACCTTCCACACATTGAACACACATAGCATGCGTTTGGCCATTTCCCTGCTGACTCTTGAAACCGTTGAGTCGGATGGATGCACCTCGGGGGCGAACCGCAACCGGTAACGCCTCCAGAAAGCCACCTTGGTCTCGCGAAGCTCTCCGTCCGCCAAGAGTGCGTCCTCGACGCTCACTCTGGAACGATCCTGTTCCGATTGGCGGTAGTACAGGCTCACCGCATTCCAGGCCCTCCGCAGCCTTGCGGTCTGTACCATGGATTCCTCCCAGCCCCAACTTACCCACCCAAACCTGGATTTGCTCCTCAGTGTCAAACAGGAACCGAAACTCCTTGAGGTTTTGAATCTTACACTTCAGGAGGGCCTGAACAATCCCCATGACCGTCCGTCCCGTGCGAAGCAAAGGCCCGATGTTCGTTGGGTCGCCCGTGGAAGAGCCTTCCATGCCTCGAAGAACTCGGCCCAGGGGAAGCCGCTGAGAAAAGTACTCGGGATCATGAAGCTGAACTCTTGGCGGAGCTTCTTCTGCTTACCCTTGGGACAGTGGGCGTGCAGGGCACTCTGCGTGATCTTGCGATGGCTCGGCCATCGTCACATGCTTGTAGCGGAGCACGCCCGCCATGACCAACCAGCCACCCAGAAGTGCGGACCAGCGTTCCTCGCCAGCCTCGAACATCTGGACAATCGATTGACCATGCTGGGCTCCATCACCGCTGCCTGGCCACGCTTGTGAGGCCGAGATGCCACTCGGCGGGGCAACTGGATCATCTGCAAGTCCATGTTGACCTTGGCCTGATTGAGGATCCAACGCAAACTTGCCAATGAGCGGGCCGGTGCGGGCGGCCTCCGTGATGAACACCTCTGAAGGAAGCCCTCAAGCTCCGCCCAAGTTCGCAAAGCATTCTGGACGGTCACCTTCTCCGCTCGCTTGGTGAGCTGCTGGCCTAGCCGCCGGCACGCCGCCTGCCACTCAGCCCGCAGCAAGGTGCTGACATGGCCAGAGGGCCTGAGGGCACCTGCCTGCTGAAGCACCAGGCCCAACCGCACCCTCTACCACAACCTCTGGCTGAGGCTCCCGAGGAGCGAGCCTCACTCCCCGATGCCTCGCCAGGGCAGAAGCTGCCACGGATGATGAAGGGCCTGCTTGTAGGTGCTGAAGGCAAAGGCGAAGTCCTTGTCGTCCAGCAGCCCGCGCTCGCGCCTCCACTCCTGGACCCGCGCAGCCGAGGCTTTGTCCAGAGCGCTCTCCGGTGTCCAGGAAGTGCCCCCCTCCATGGCCATCCGAGCATAGATCCCGTGCTCCTGCGCCATGGCGCTAGCTGCTGCCAAGCCCAAAATTGCTGCTGCAGTCCGGGCATACTGAACGGCCGTTGCGAGTGGCAAACGTAGGAAAATAGCAAAGGACGCACACCGGTGGGAAAAATTCGACGCCACCGGCGAGGCCGCCCA